CAGAGAAGATGCTGCTACATGTGACACATCCTGAGTTATAAGACAGAGAAGATGGTGCTCTACATGTGACACATCCTGAGTTATAAGACAGAGAAGATGGCACTCTACATGTGACACATCCTGAGTTATAAGACAGAGAAGATGCTGCTACATGTGACACATCCTGAGTTATAAGACAGAGAAGATGGTGCTCTACATGTGACACATCCTGAGTTATAAGACAGAGAAGATGCTGCTACATGTGACACATCCTGAGTTATAAGACAGAGAAGATGGTGCTATATGTGACACATCCTGAGTTATAAGACAGAGAAGATGGTGCTACATGTGACACCCTGAGAAGAAACCAGCAGAGAATCACTGAATGGGACATAGAGGTACAAAGGAGACAAGGACACAAAAAAGAAACCCTAAGACACAAGGTGAGTAGAGAAGCCAAAGGTGCTGGACTTGACTCCATTTAGGATAGTGAACTGGATGCACATGATAGAATGGACTGGGGGAACTGACTGTGAGCCCTGTGTGACATATAATGGCACAACAGGACAATGGGAGAACTGACTGTGAGCCCTGTGTGACATATAATGGCACAACAGGACAATGAATGAATGAATGAATGAATGAATGAATGAATGAATGAATGAATGAATGAATGAATGAATGGCTATACATTCACAATTGTTAAACTGATGGATATAATTGGGTATGCTGACAGACAAACAAAACCACAGATGGACAGATAGACTTGAGGCAGCTAGCTAGACAGACGACGAATAGATCACCTGGCACACAACACAGACATACATGTAGATCTACCTTGGGATTGCTGCATCGGAGGACTGGTCAGGCATGGGAATGCCCAGTGTGCAGTGAAGTCTATTGTGAATAATTTAACATATATTACTGTGATTTCTTCCTCCAGTGAAGTGTGATTGATCTGTAATATACTATTGTGATTTCTTCCTCCAGTGATGTGTGATTGATCTGTAATATACTATTGTGATTTCTTCCTCCAGTGATGTGTGAATGATCTGTAATATACTACTGTGATTTCTTCCTCCATTGATGTGTGATTGATTTGTAATATACTATTGTGATTTCTTCCTCCAGTGATGTGTGATTGATCTGTAATATACTACTGTGATTTCCCCCTCCAGTGATGTGTGATTGATCGATATACTACTGTGATTTCTTCCTGTAGTGATGAAATCTGTGACAGACTTCTCTGATTCCTTCCTGCAGTGATGTCATTGGTCTGTGATATAGTACTGTGATTTCACATTGCAAAGATATGACTGATCTGTGACACATTGATGTGTGATATTCTTCTCTGATTGCTTCCTCCAATGGTGGAAACTGTGGAATAATACTACTACATGTTGCTGATGAAGATAACTGCTATGTACATGAGCAAATGTCAAATGCCTGTAAGTTCTGAAGTGATAAAATTTCACAGAAATGTCTTGTGTTGCTAGTGACATTCTAGCCAGATGCTTCAGACCCTGTAGCCTGTGTGTCTGTTGCATATGAGAGCAACCAATGGTAGCCTGTGTCTCTTGCATCTGAAAGCAACCAATGGTAGCCTGTGTATCTATTACATCTGAGAGCAAGCAATGGTTGCCTGTGTGTCTATTACATCTGAGAGCAAGCAATGGTTGCCTGTGTGTGTTACATCCAAAAGAAACCAAAGGTTGCCTGTGTGTCTGTTACATCTGAGAGCAACCAATGGTTGCCTGTATGTCTGTTACATCTGAGAGCAACCAATGGTTGCCTTTGTGTCTGTTAGATCCAAGAGCAAGCAATGGTTGCCTGTGTGTCTGTTACATCTGAGAGCAACCAATGGTTGCCTTTGTGTCTGTTACATCCAAGAGCAAGCAATGGTTGCCTGTGTGTCTGTTACATCTGTAAGCAAGCAATGGTAGCCTTTGTGTCTGTTACATCTGAGAGCAACAAATGGTAGCCTTTGTGTCTGTTACATCTGTAAGCAACCAATGGTTGCCTGTGTGTCTGTTACATCTGAGAGCAACAAATGGTAGCCTTTGTGTCTGTTACATCTGAGAGCAACCAATGGTAGCCTTTGTGTCTGTTACATCTGAGAGCAACAAATGGTAGCCTTTGTGTCTGTTACATCCAAGAGCAACCAATGGTTGCCTGTGTGTCTGTTACATCTGAGAGCAACCAATGGTTGCCTGTGTGTCTGTTACATCTGAGAGCAACAAATGATTGCCTGTGTGTCTGTTACATCTGAGAGCCACCAATGGTTGCCTGTGTGTCTGTTACATCTGAAAGCAAGCAATGGTTGCCTGTGTATCTGTTACATCCAAGAGCAACCAATGGTTGCCTGTGTGTCTGTTACATCTGAAAGCAAGCAATGGTTGCCTGTGTGTCTGTTACATCTGAAAGCAAGCAATGGTTGCCTGTGTATCTGTTACATCCAAGAACAACCAATGGTTGCCTGTGTGTCTGTTACATCTGAAAGCAAGCAATGGTTGCCTGTGTGTCTGTTACATCTGAAAGCAAGCAATGGTTGCCTGTGTGTCTGTTACATCTGAAAGCAAGCAATGGTTGCCTGTGTGTCTGTTAATCCAAGAGCAACCAATTGCTGCCTGTGTGTCTGTTAATCCAAGAACAACCAATGGTTGCCTGTGTGTCTGTTACATCTGAAAGCAAGCAATGGTTGCCTGTGTGTCTGTTAATCCAAGAGCAACCAATTGCTGCCTGTGTGTCTGTTACATCTGAAAGCAAGCAATGGTTGCCTGTGTGTCTGTTACATCTGAAAGCAATAAATGGTTGCCTGTGTGTCTGTTACATCTGAAAGCAAGCAATGGTTGCCTGTGTGTCTGTTACATCTGAAAGCAAGCAATGGTTGCCTGTGTGTCTGTTACATCTGAAAGCAAGCAATGGTTGCCTGTGTATCTGTTACATCCAAGAACAACCAATGGTTGCCTGTGTGTCTGTTACATCTGAAAGCAAGCAATGGTTGCCTGTGTGTCTGTTACATCTGAAAGCAAGCAATGGTTGCCTGTGTGTCTGTTACATCTGAAAGCAAGCAATGGTTGCCTGTGTGTCTGTTACATCTGAAAGCAAGCAATGGTTGCCTGTGTGTCTGTTACATCTGAAAGCAAGCAATGGTTGCCTGTGTGTCTGTTACATCTGAAAGCAAGCAATGGTTGCCTGTGTATCTGTTACATCCAAGAACAACCAATGGTTGCCTGTGTGTCTGTTACATCTGAAAGCAAGCAATGGTTGCCTGTGTGTCTGTTACATCTGAAAGCAAGCAATGGCTGCCTGTGTATCTGTTACATCCAAGAACAACCAATGGTTGCCTGTGTGTCTGTTACATCTGAAAGCAAGCAATGGTTGCCTGTGTGTCTGTTACATCTGAAAGCAAGCAATGGTTGCCTGTGTGTCTGTTACATCTGAAAGCAAGCAATGGTTGCCTGTGTGTCTGTTACATCTGAAAGCAAGCAATGGTTGCCTGTGTATCTGTTACATCCAAGAACAACCAATGGTTGCCTGTGTGTCTGTTACATCTGAAAGCAAGCAATGGTTGCCTGTGTGTCTGTTACATCTGAAAGCAAGCAATGGTTGCCTGTGTGTCTGTTACATCTGAAAGCAAGCAATGGGTGCCTGTGTGTCTGTTACATCTGAAAGCAAGCAATGGGTGCCTGTGTGTCTGTTACATCTGAAAGTAAGCAATGGGTGCCTGTGTGTCTGTTACATCTGAAAGTAAGCAATGGGTGCCTGTGTGTCTGTTACATCTGAAAGTAAGCAATGGGTGCCTGTGTGTCTGTTACATCTGAAAATAAGCAATGGGTGCCTGTGTGTCTGTTACATCTGAAAGCAAGCAATGGGTGCCTGTGTGTCTGTTACATCTGAAAATAAGCAATTGCTGCCTGTGTGTCTGTTACATCTGAAAATAAGCAATGGGTGCCTGTGTGTCTGTTACATCTGAAAGTAAGCAATGGGTGCCTGTGTGTCTGTTACATCTGAAAGTAAGCAATGGGTGCCTGTGTATCTGTTACATCTGAAAGTAAGCAATGGGTGCCTGTGTGTCTGTTACATCTGAAAGTAAGCAATGGGTGCCTGTGTGTCTGTTACATCTGAAAGTAAGCAATGGGTGCCTGTGTGTCTGTTACATCTGAAAGCAAGCAATGGTTGCCTGTGTGTCTGTTACATCTGAAAGTAAGCAATGGGTGCCTGTGTTTCTGTTACATCTGAAAGCAAGCAATGGTTGCCTGTGTGTCTGTTACATCTGAAAGCAAGCAATGGCTGCCTTTGTGTCTGTTACATCTGAAAGCAAGCAATGGTTGCCTGTGTGTCTGTTACATCTGAAAGCAAGCAATGGTTGCCTGTGTGTCTGTTAATCCAAGAGCAACCAATTGCTGCCTGTGTGTCTGTTACATCTGAAAGCAAGCAATGGTTGCCTGTGTGTCTGTTACATCTGAGAGCAACCAATGGTTGCTTCTGTACAAGTGCACATTTTCTGATGTTAGAAAATATTTGACCACTGACTGGCTACCAACCCTAAGAAACAACAATGAGGAGGAAGGCTCAAGGGGCTGGACTGGATTCAATCCATGAAACAGAAACAAGTGGACCGGACAGAACGGAATGGAGAGATAATCTATCAGCCCTATGTGATATATAATAATAGCACAACAAGGTGATGATGGTGCTGATGATGAAACTATAATGATGACTGGCTGTGAAGAATCAATACCCAGTGACTGGATTCCAGCAGATGTTTGCTAGAATTGGTGAGCATATTTTGTCTAGTCCAAAAGCATTATATATTTTGTCACATTGAACCAAACACATTGCATATTTTGTTATACTACTCTAAAACCAGTCCACATTTTGTCCCACTAGGCTAAAGACATCCCATAATTTGTGACACTACTAGCCTTAGACACTAGGGTAAAACTAATAAATGTGTCACAATGGACTACAACTATCACAAATGTTGTCACAATAAACTACAGCTATCACAAATGTTGTCACAATGGGTTCTGAAAATTGGGATACTTTGGCTTGTCAATAACACCTTGTCCAAATTTATACTCTAGAAACTCTGTAATATTATTTGGAGCACTTGCCAGAACTCCAGCAAATTCTATCTTGGTCAGCGGTTGAAGGAACCTCTCGGGAAACTCTGTATCCTGTCTGTGGTTGTGGAACCATGTATCTTTAGTCATTGTTCCATTTTTGGAATAGAACGGGAAGATGTCCACGTGCAGATGGTTGGTCTCTGAGAACTGGACACGGAAGAAATCTCCTTCTACCGCTGTCTCCCACACAAACTGCTGTTCATCAACGTATCTCTCTTGTGTGGCTCTGGACAACGGCAGACATTTCTCCACATCTACTTTGTAGATGCCGATATCTACATCATAATCCCAAGGGATAATATCCCCATGGCGAGCTGCCCCAAGCAGGCTCCCTCCTTCCAGCCAGTAGCGCACCTGGCACCGGTCCAGAACTGAGAACACATGCCAGGCAGTTTCTCGTAATGCCTTCAGGCAGCAAGGAGGCGTCCATCTACCAAGATATAAATACTCAGGCATGTCATTGACGATGGTGCCAAAACATCTGGCTGTCTCCTTACTGCAGCCATACCAGTTACTGAAGCCAGAGGCCAAAGTTTCCTGCTTGATGCCAATCTTCTCATAAAACTTCCGCAGTCTGTCAGTTTCCGCTTGCTTGTGTTTCCAGTGAGAATGAGGCTCCTGGTATAAGCGTGACAACACATCCAGCCTTGCAGACTTTGTGATTCTCACCTTGCAGTTCTTCACGCTAGCCTGAATATAAAATGTCAAGGGTAGCGGTCTGGCAAAAGGCTCAGCAAAAGATTTCAAAGTCTCAGTCTCCATAAAGAGACCATGGGGACCTGTCACTAAGGGACAGTTAAATGACGGCTGGGAATAATTTGCATGGAAAGACAGTGACCAGCTTTTCAAATCAACACTTAAACCCTGGCAAGTCAGTTCTGCATTGCCAATCGGCACAGCAACAGCCTTGGTGTGTTTCTTTGAGTGCAGAAATGAGACCAAGTTCTGAATCAGCTTCCAGTCCCTAATGCCGACAGCATCTGGTATAATCAACACATACTGTGTCTGCAAGTAATGAAAGGGGCAAGCACTGCTGTAGTTTCTAGTCAAGTCACTAGAGAGAGTGATCACCCTTGCCTCACTATTCATGTTCAGCATTACAGGAGGATAGGGTAGCTGGTCTGCTACAAGAAAACACCGGAACCTTTCCCAGGGAATTACGAATAGAGCGCACAGTTTCAGATAAAGCATTGTCAAAGTTTTCAAACTCTCGTATTATGATGCTTAATCTCTCTCCCAGATTTTCTTTTGTGACAGGCCCTGTCAACTTAACCAAAGGCTCCAACTGCCCTACATGATTTCGGTTATGGACCTGCACTGAAGAATTATCTGGAAGCTTTTGATAAATGACAAAGTAAAACACAAGAACAAAGGTCAGGACACCAGCCACAATGTAGCCCCTGTATATGAGTCTCCGAGGCAGAATCATTTCGCTGTTCAGTATATTTCACATTATAGATCATGAACATATGAGTCTCAGAGGCAGAATCATTTCACTGTTCAGTTTATTTCACATCACATTCGGCGCTCAGTATAGTTCACATTAATGTCATTATGTTTATCACACAGACAAATAATCAGGCTCCCGAAACTAGTCAGGAAACTTTGAGAATTCCCTGTAAGAAAGAACAATTCTTAAACAATCAACGAGTGAAAACTGGAACACTGCAATAAGAGAATTACAGACCAAATTTAGAGTATTACCAAACTGTGTGCCATTTTGTGTAAGCAAATAGTATGATTTGTTCAGAGTTCATGGTCACCATCTGTCCATTCATAAAAGCAAGCAGTATAATGTTTACACTGACAGGACAAAGTAAAAACAATTCTATTGGTCAATGGATGGATAACAAGGACAGAACAGAACAAATAACAATTCTACCGGTCAGTGGATAGATAAAAGGGACAGGACAAAAAAAATTCTACCAGTCAATGGATGGACAAAAGGGACAGGACAAAAAATTCTACCAGTCAATGGATGGACAAAAGGGACACAAAAAATCTTAAACAATTCTACGGGTCAATGGATGGATAAAAGGGACAGGACAAAATAGAAACAAGTCTACCAGTCAATGGATGGATAAAAGGGACAGGACAAAATAGAAACAAGTCTACCAGTCAATGGATGGAAAAAATTCTTACGGTCAATGGATGGACAAAATAGAAACAAGTCTACCAGTCAATGGATGGATAAAAGGGACAGGACAAAATAGAAACAAGTCTACCAGTCAATGGATGGATAAAAGGGACAGGACAAAATAGAAACAAGTCTACCAGTCAATGGATGGATAACAGGGACAGAACAAAGTAGAAACAATTCTATTGGTCAATGGATGGATGACAGTGACAGAACAAAGTAGAAGCAATTTGATTGGTCAATGGATGTATGACAGGGACAAGACAAAGTAGAAACAATTCTATTGGTCAATAGATGAATGACAGGGACACGACAAAGTCGAAACAATTCTACTGGTCAATGGATGGATTATAGGGAAAAGACAAAAAACCCAGAAACAATTCTACTTGGCAACAGATGAATAAAAGGGACAGGACAAAGTAAAAACAATTCTACTGCTTAATGGATGGATAACAGTGATAGAACAAGAAAACGAAAATTTAAAATCAGCGGATGAATAACAGCTACAGGATAAAGTAGAAACAATTCTACCAGTCAATAGATGAACAACAAGGACAGGTTAAAGTAGAAACAATTCTACCAGTCAATAGATGGACAACAGGGACAGGATAAAATAGAAACAATTCTACCAGTCAATAGATGGACAACAGGGACAGGTTAAAGTAGAAACAATTCTACCAGTCAATAGATGGACAACAGGGACAGGTTAAAGTAGAAACAATTCTACCAGTCAATAGATGGACAACAGGGACAGGTTAAAGTAGAAACAATTCTACCAGTCAATAGATGGACAACAGGGACAGGTTAAAGTAGAAACAATTCTACCAGTCAATAGATGGACAACAGGGACAGGTTAAAGTAGAAACAATTCTACCAGTCAATAGATGGACAACAGGGACAGGTTAAAGTAGAAACAATTCTACCAGTCAATAGATGGACAACAGGGACAGGTTAAAGTAGAAAACAATTCTACCAGTCAATAGATGGACAACAGGGACAGGTTAAAGTAGAGAACAATTCTACCAGTCAATAGATGGACAACAGGGACAGGTTAAAGTAGAAACAATTCTACCAGTCAATAGATGGACAACAGGGACAGGTTAAAGTAGAAACAATTCTACCAGTCAATAGATGGACAACAGGGACAGGTTAAAGTAGAAACAATTCTACCAGTCAATAGATGGACAACAGGGACAGGTTAAAGTAGAAACAATTCTACCAGTCAATATATGGACAACAGGGACAGGTTAGAAACATTTCTACCAGTCAATAGATGGACAACAGGGACAGGTTAGAAACATTTCTACCAGTCAATAGATGGACAACAGGGACAGGTTAAAGTAGAAACAATTCTACCAGTCAATAGATGGACAACAGGGACAGGTAAAGTAGAAACAGTAGAAACAGGTTAAAGTTCTACCAGTCAATAGATGGACAACAGGGACAGGTTAAAGTAGAAACAATTCTACCAGTCAATAGATGGACAACAGGGACAGGTTAAAGTAGAAACAATTCTACCAGTCAATATATGGACAACAGGGACAGGTTAAAGTAGAAACAATTCTACCAGTCAATAGATGGACAACAGAGACAGGTTAGAAACATTTCTACCAGTCAATAGATGGACAACAGGGACAGGTTAAAGTAGAAACAATTCTACCAGTCAATAGATGGACAACAGGGACAGGTTAAAGTAGAAACAATTCTACCAGTCAATAGATGGACAACAGGGACAGGTTAAAGTAGAAACAATTCTACCAGTCAATAGATGAACTACAGGGACAGGTTAAAGTAGAAACAATTCTACCAGTCAATAGATGGACAACAGGGACAGGTTAAAGTAGAAACAATTCTACTAGTCAATAGATGGACAACAGGGACAGGTTAAAGTAGAAACAATTTCTACCAGTCAATAGATGAACTACAGGGACAGGTTAAAGTAGAAACATTTCTACCAGTCAATTGATGAACTACAGAAAAATGGGCTATCTTCCGAATAATGGTCCTAAATTATATAGGCCAAAAATATACCCTAACAAGGCCTCAGCCACGTGTCAATTACATTCAAATGCGTACTTCCGGGGACTATACCGCCACCAGCCGAATTGCTCACGTGACGTGGGTTGGGGCTAAACTAGATGGCTAGGACTCACGAGCAAATAAAATGAAGGCAGCTGCAGGAAATGCGGTAGCTGCTGCTCGTGAGTCTCAGCCATCTAGTTTAGCCCCAATCCATGCTGCGTGAGCGGCGTGGGGGATACCCTCGGCGGTCGCAGAAGTCCCCGAAAGTTTGCAATTCGGCGGCGGCGGTATAGTCGCCAGAAGTGTGCAATTTAAATGTGATTGAGACCCTCTTAGGGTATATTTTCTGCCTCGATAATTTTGAACCATTTTTAGGAAGATAGCCGAAAAATGACATTTAGATATAGGAAATGACAGAACTGTCCTTACTGAAAAAATGACATACAGATTAAGAAAATGACTGAAGTGTTTGATTTTTTATGATTTTACCATGACAAAGCAAACTGTAATATTTATTATCTTGGAATCTACCAAATGTGAAAATTTTATTATGCACCCTTTTGCTCATTCTCAGTCACCCCCATATCTAATGTGGAGACAATACCCCAACTCTCCCCAACCATCATGTCTAATGTGGAGACAATTCCCCGACTCTCCCCAACCACCATGTCTAGTGTGGAGACAATACCCCGACTCTCCCCAACCACCATGTCTAATGTGGAGACTTTACCCGACTCTCCCCAACCACCATGTCTAATGTGGAGACAATACCCCGACTTTCCCCAACCACCATGTCTTATTGTGGGGACATTATCCTGACTCTGCTACAAAAACTTCATCATATTTAGAAATATATTTACATTTTTTGGCCTCCCATTTTACACATGATGTGTCTGCTGGATGTCTCTTAGAGACGTTGACTTGAACAGATAAAAAAATTTGGCTCTCCTTCAAACTGCATCATAAAATGGCGGCCATAATATGATGCCACATTCTGGCCATAAAATATCCAAAAATATCCGAACGGTGTTCAGGCATATCTAAAATAAGGACTTTCTGCCAAGGAACAAATCGCGGCAAAACTAGGATTACTTGACAATCAATATCAACATTGCACATGGTAATAGCAGACGATAAATACCGACCGTTGACAATTTGAAGCGTTTCTGCAGACGATACTAGCAGACGATATTAGCGACTGTTGACAATTTCGAGACATTACAGACGATGAAAGCGATTAGCAATACTATTCTTCCGATTGGAAAACGCGATTAAACTCATTGCCGAGCGTATCCCCCGCACCGCTACGTGTGGCGCAGATGGGGGGCTAAACTAGGTGTCTGGGACTCATGAGTAAAGTGATTGGAGCAAGTTGCAGGAGATGCGGTAGCTGCTGCTCGTGAGTTCCAGCCATCTAGTTTAGTCCACATCCGCACTGCGCGTAGCGGCGCAGGGGATACGGTCGGCGGTAAGGCACACTCGCAGAAGTCTAAGGTCCGACAATACCCAAGTAACACCATATCTAATGTGAGACCCTGTTAGAGCATTTGTTTCGTTATACGGAGCCAGCATATTTTTAATAGAACTGAGCCCCATTTGGATATTTTTTGATATTTTATGGCCAGAATGTGGCCAATTTGGCTCTCCTTCGAATGGCATCATATTATGGCTGCCATTTTATAGTGACTACGTTGTTCGGCAATTTGCGGTCTTTTTGCAATTTCTGTTACCATGGAAACCGTTCGAAACTTGTTTCGGACCACCATGTCTAATGGGGTTTCGGGACTCTCCCCAATCTCTCATGTCTTAAATGTTGCGACATTGGTGTGAGTTTTTTACCCAAAAACTATCAAATGGCTGAAAACGGCAGGGAATGGCCTCCGATTTAACACACGCATGTGTCTACGACAGCCGGAAGCCCTCTTTTTTCTAGCGACTACAGTTTGAAAAAAATATCGTTAAGTATTCGACCATGGAAACTGTTTGAGGCTTTAACGGGAAATGTCGGCACTGGTTTCGGGATGGGTCCTAATCTCTAATTGAATTTTGCGATCCGTCCAATTTCACCCATTTCTATATAAAATTTCTTCTTATCAGTGGAAGGACCCGATTTACAGTGCGCATGTTTTTAGCCCGGCAATCCTCTGTTTTTCTGATTAATTATCATGGATTGAAAAATAGCGATAAAATTCGAGGTTGGCTTTAGCTTTAACTGTTACTCGTCCTGGTAATGCTAGTTATAATTGAATTCTCCGTCCAATTTTACATTT